TATGCATCGAGGGACTCCTTTCCATGCGGACTCCAGTTACCAATCATAGCCATAAAGTCTAATATGATAGAGCGTGGATAAAGCTCCTTACATACTTCTCTAACGCGAAAACTCCCCAGTCCCTTCTTGTTTCCTACCTCCTTCATTCCCTCGTAACCTCTCCCTTTTCCCTGCCCCTTCCCTGTTTCCGTCATATCTGTCATATCTGCTGGGCGAGCAGACACGATACGGGAGTATCTCCGGACCCTCGCAGCGAGTGTCCGGTTGACAAAAGCCCTGTAACCAATAATACCCACCAAACAAAACCTCATTTTTTTCACTAAAACAAAACTATAGGAAATAAATAGACCATTTCCATTTAAGGAAATGAATAGACCATTTAGAATGGTCATGGTCTTCAGAAGAGTCGTTCAATAACTGTGAAAAAGATGAGCATTCGGTGTATATTCATCGAGCGTAAGGCTGATTAGACTGTGACAAAAAAGTAAAGGAGTAAGTAAAGTTATGATATCTCCTCGTCCCACGAAAGCATATTACGCAGTGTCGTGTGCAGTGGGATCTGAGCTAATCACCATGGTAAAGAAGGGTTGAGGCATTTTTTTGGTGAGTGATTAGATTTAGATCTGATTACTTGTTATGCAAAATTACAAGTCTAACAGTCCTTCCGATTTTATGTTATCTAGCTACGAACCTAAAGCCATATGGTACAGAAGCATCACACTTAAGTCAGAGGCTAAAGGCAGATACTGTAGATAGTTGCTCTAGCTCTTCGTTTGCTCAATCACTACATAATGTAGAAATCGTGCATGGAAGAGCAGAAAACAATATGATGAAGAAAGAATTACAGAATGTGTGTTCCACAGTCAGTGTTCAGCTGCGAACCTGTGAACCGTGTAACAGAGGTTCTTTAGGAGAGAGCACACCTACACTCAACCCCTTCCTGAATTTCGGGCGTACGGCTTTGAATGTGAAATCACAGCTTAAGGGTATGTGGTTGGCACCATTCTGCCATACGATTGTAATTTGACGCACCTTTTCTCGAATTCAAAGCAGCTTTACTTCCAAAATTCATCCTCATTGTGAACACGCCCCCACAAAAGCTCCTACAAAAGCTCCATAACTTCTTTAACAGACTTCCACCGCAGATTCGGAAGTGGATTCACAACAACAACAACAGACAAATCAGGTCATATCCATCTCATTTCAAACGGCCGCTCTAACCTACAATCATTCCTTTGTGAAAATGTAATCGTCGGAGAGGAAAATAAAGAAAACTGGTGAGAAAAGAAATAGTGGTGCTAGAAATGGTCACTTGCACTTCTTTCGACCACAGCAACAAGCACTCCTCAGTCCGTCGCGTTTTTATGTCAGCTCAAAGCAGCCGTCCTTATGCCCAGATCACACAAATGATAACTGCCAACGTATTACTAATTGAATTTACTATTAGCTCTCAACACATGTTGTGCACCAAAAGACGACCGAAAATGTTACCGTAAAGATTAGTTTCGAAAAGGATTATTTCATGGGTTCAGTAGGTCGTAATGACTTCAAGAATGCAGGTCATGTGGTGTTCAAAACGCGAAACCTTAGATCCGATCCCAGCCTTTATTAAATACCCAAGAAATGCCGCGACTCACTGCGAAGTAACGGAATGTACTAGGAAAGCATAACCTAAGAACAATTATTTCAGATCACAAAAATTTCCAACGAACCTTCCACTCCTCTCCCAGAGCGTCAATCTCGACTTCCTGAGCCATGCGCTTATCGTAAAACATGCGCAATTTCTTCTCATCATCGATTTCAAATAACTTTTGTTGACCTGTCGCTGGATTGGCGAAGTTAAGTTTCATCTTCGCAGATGACGCTTGTTACCTGAATAAACGCTACCCATAACAACTAATACCAAAAAATCGAAATTTCTGGTCGGAAGCAACCCAGATATCGCGAACAACGACGAATCAACAGATAAGAGGGGACAGCTTCGCAACAGTGAAAAATTAGATACAAAAAATACTACATGAAACTAGTGCAGAAACACGGAAACATTAAAACCAGTTCCTTTACTTTAGGCCTCCGAAAAGAAATAGCGAACAATTTTAAAGGTCGTACGTTTGAACCGCTGAAACAACAATCGTTTCAGGACCAGCACCGCGCCCACCGTAATTGGGCATGCTGCCAGCCTCGGGATCATTCGATAAAGCATTTCTAAGAACTATTGTGAAGTATTTTGTAACTTTCCTCAGTTGGGGACCAAGCATTTAATTCAAAAAGAGGGTTGAAGACTGCAGTGACATTTTGCTGTCACATAGGGATTTCTTCTGAGCTTCCAGGAACATTTTTATAGACCTCATTTCGCACAACATTTTTTTCTCAGTTCACATGATGTATAACTTCTGAAGTCTGCTTTTTTTCGTGTGAATTCTTCCGTCGTTGTTTATCATCGTTTCTCCAAAAAAATATCAGATTTAGGACCAATGGTGGACTGCCCCCATATCTCGGGCTCAGTGTGTATCGCAGCTGTGAATCTTTCACAATTACAACTTCTGCGAGAATTCAACGATGTCGACTATGGTGGCAGATCTGCAGTCCGCTCGCAAAGAAAACTTAGCCGTGATGCCTCGTGAGTTTTCTTCAGAATGATTTTGACTCTCTAAGCAGGGATGCGGCACGAGTTGAAACGCAAATGAGCCCAGCTCTTAAAGAAGTTGAGCTTTTGGAGCAAATATGAGCAGTTCATTTTTCCGTCACGAGGCCAATTCACAGAGCAGCTTTATCAGCACATCAGGGTGTTGTCATAACTTATAGCACACTGCGGAGGCGGCTGTCCCGCTCACTACCAGCAACATAGGAGAGAAATCGAATTTGTTGCTCAAAGAAAAGTTCTGGTTTCACCTCCATAGATGGTCGTTCCCATGTGCAAGGTCAAGGCCCACATCCGCCATTAACGTACCACTTTCTCCGCTCAAAGATGCACGGGAAATGGGCATACTCGGCACGCGCTATCCTCAAGTGGCAGCAGTTCAGTCGGACTATGGTCCCGCGGCGAAACACGCACTCAGCCGCAGAGAACCACCAGGGGTGAGAGGGCGCAGACAAGTTTGGCGATGTTCAGGCGAACGGCTAGCCGTGGGGCAGTGCGAGCCGAGGATGGAGACGACTGTCGGGTAACTATCCTCCAGCTCCCTTTCCGTGTACCAACCATAAGCGGAGAGGGTTGCTCGCTAGTGGAACTGTGGACCCATTCACCTCGCCCATAGCAAGAACAAGGGTCGATGGAGGCGAGTGTGCAGTTTTGTCTTTAAATGCAATGAATGTTGTGTTTCGGAGAACCCTTGCTCAGTATGCCGCCCACAAATTCCATACCTCCTCAGTTTTTTTTTTCAGAACTAGCTTGCCCAACATTGAAAGGGCCATTTCCCTGATCAACCCATGTATGCCGGGAATGGAGGAAAGGCGAACAGTTTGGGGTACACTCCCAGATCTGAGAAAATGTGTTCTTCCTCCTCAACAACGCTGAGTTATTTGCAAAAGTCAGACCACGGACGGGATTCGAACCCGCATCTTCCGCTTACCGGGGTTGCGTTCCCTATTACGCTACCGGGGCCACTCTTGCCAACTCAGCTCAATGGCTATTTGTGCCATTGCCTTCGAGCACTCACACGTTCAACGTGTCCTTCCTGTCTATAAGGAGCGCAGCTCCGCTGCCGTATAGATGGGTCACTTTTGCCACTTAACAGTGCAACGCAAGGGTACTAGAGGCCTGAAATGGTCGGAAACCGCGCCCTTTCTGAATTGCTGCGATCGATCCCCAGTGACTTCTGCTCACTGCATCACTGGTAAGTCGGAACCGGCAAGATCGTGACTACCCCCCTCCCCCCCCTAGCAACGACGTGGGGTGTAGTTCAGCTCGTGGGGGAAGGCGAGAAAATCCACCGAGCGCGTACGCATCGATGCCGAGCGGTTATCCAGCGATACCGCTGGACGGCGATCAACGTAGTTTACCTCTGAGTTCTAATGGTAGTGATCACGATGATACTCAACGTATACCCGTATCAGATAATAACGGCAAAGCACCTAACGATACCTTCCATCCTTATTCGGAGTGAAAAGAGCACACTTTCTGCCCTTCTCCATTCCTAGATTAAGTTTTTGACTTGTCTCAGAGTTGTGAACTCTCCATCTCCCGGTACTTTTCCCTCTACGCCCTGCTTTTGTTACATTCATCGGCAAAGCGCAGCGATTTCTTTGCCGATGGAGTGCCGCGGTGTGGCGCTGACCTTTACACCTCGTGATCGCTGCGACGGCACTCAGTACGCGCCGTTTGCGCACGGCCAATGTGTCATTTCGTGCAACCCACCTCATCTGTACCACGACGAAGGCCGCAGAGATGGTGTTGCAAGCGGGTCTTCCACCCCGGAACTCAACACATTCAACGTGGCTACGCCATAGCTTATCAAGTCTTCTGGCTGGGAATGTTCTGCCAGTTCACGGCGCCTCGGATGTCATGAATTGAGCCCCACGGCTTGCAATCACGGAATATGTTTTGAAAGGCCAGTGGCTTTTCAGAGCATAGGACAATGTGAAGGACGCACGTTGAACACTCAACGGGCTCTTTCAAAGGCAGAGGGAGGGCTCCAAGGTGCGCGACTCTTTTGGAGCGTGAGAGTTGGCGTGTATAAGGTGACAGTGGTTACAGAATGCTGTGCAGATAACGTAGCGCAGGGTAGAGGAAAAATCGATGCAGTTTAAGGAGACATTTTGCAACCACTTGATGGGTAGCACTGATTCCTTGGATAGTGATAGTGGTCCTTCCTTATCTGTTAACACAACTGTGGCTAGTTGCGTACAGATTGTGCGGGACAGACCTGTCGTCTGTTTAGTCTTCCGGGTTGCTTCATATTTTGTCTCTGACCTCTTGCCTAGCAGCAATGTCTCGCTTCTTCGAATGTTCGTCTTCGGGGGAATGGATGTATTGCATGAATGAATGCGTTCAATGAAGATCTGCCACAAAGGAGTGGATGGAAATAGATCGGCTACGCCACTAGCGCTTCAGGAGATTGTGTGATTCGTCAGCGGGCGAAGTCTGGCTTCCCATCTACCCCTTGTCGTCACTTTCCACAATCGCTCATCCCGCGGATCGCGGATTCGCCACAAGTACAGAAAAGCAACATATTATTAGCGGAAATTGCAATCAGGTGGACATATTGTGTAGCTCGTGAATGACCAAAGAGAATATTTTTGCCACAGTTTGGTGAAGTGACCGACTGATTGTACCCGTTCCAGATCTCCATTTGAAGCACTTACTATGCCGATCTGCTTTTTATAAGTAGGTATCCAAGCACTCGCCTTTCCTCACGTGCAGCGATCCTAACTAGTCAAAGAAGGAACAGGGAGATTTCTCTCGAGCTTTTCTTTTCGCACCTACCTCTAGTTAACAGTACGCTTCCGAAGTGGGCCCTAACAAAATAAATCATCGGTCTGGTTTGGTTTGATGTTCTCTGTTCCAGGAGCGTTCGCATACTCTGCTATGTGTAACACCGCACTTTGGAATCCAGTTGTGCGTTTTTTACACTCCATATCCTAGAAATGGAGAGGGCGTGGCCGCACTTCTTATAATAGTGGCTACGATTGTGGCGCGCTATCACTTTGCGGCATTTGTGGTCACGTTTTCCAATCCATAACTAAATGAAAGTTGCTCAAGTGGGAAGACCCACGAAAAATGCGTCCTGCGCCCTGTTCAAGTGAAGCACGGAGCCATGCCCTCTCCACCTCTCGAATATGGAGTGTGCTTACCCTCATGCGGATACGTGTGGACTACACTGGCAAAAACCAGTTTTTTGTAATTGCGCCAAGTCAGATTGTCCAGAAGCTTCACGAAGTTTGTTTCTTGAAAAGAGAAATTTTAGAGAGAAAGTTCTGTGGAACTGTGTCACGTGCGATTCATCAGAAAGTCCGTGGTTGTGCTTAGCGTGCGGCCTCATTTTCTGCGGTCGATTTGTAAACGCTCATGGATTGAAGCACCACAACGAAATGAAACATCCTCGTCATTGTGTGTTGATGCATTGCCAAACCTATGAGGTGTTCTGGTGAGTTGTTGGTTTTCGTAGGTTCTCAGCAAAAAAAAGTCATAACTGTGCAACTTCAATGCCGTCAATTCTTTTGGGGACATTTTAACTTGCTAGGAAATTCGGATGGGATTGGCACGCATGGGAGGC